ACAATTTTTATTTTTTATTGGTATCTAGCAATTAATTGCTATTCATAATAGGTTTAATCATTTCATTTCTGATTTGCTAATGTTATGACCAACCAGTATAAGGAACAATTTAATTGTTTTTCACTATCAATTTCAATATTCTATTAAACAATAGATGCTTTTATATTTAACAATTAATGACTGATAATGGATAATCAGTAATTCGTCACTTTTTAATCAAATGTCCCTTTATACATCTTAATTAATTCCTATTTTTTTTGAACGGCTGGCATCAAGTGATATAATAAATAAGTATAATTAGTAAATAATTATTAAATTTATAATTAACAAATAATATTGAAGCATGTCCTACACACATAATCGACATTGATAAATGTTCGAATAGAATGAATAGCTCGACGTCCTCTTTTATGATAAGAACGACGTAACACAGTTAATTTTGTACATGCATTGATACAAGCCTAGAATTATAATTGAAATTCCAAAATGAAATGCTCCTACTCTAACTAAAAAATTATTTACAAAATAAATAGCAAATAAAAATTAAGATTACAATTAATGTTTGAACTTTATTTATATAAACAATACTTCCGATTCTTGATAAAAAATTAAATGTATTTTTTTTACTCTTCTGCATCCAGCATGATAAAAAAATAAAAGTTACTAATATAATCAGATTTAAAATTTTTGACTTAGAATTAATAATAATAATTTCAATTTCATATTCTTTTGAATTGTAAACCTGAAGCGCTTGAACATGAGCTGAAAAATCTCCTCTCATTCCTTCCAGTGATATACCCAATAATTCCATAGGATCTTCATTTAACGGACATTCAAATTCCATTTTTGATTCTGCTTTAGGTACTAATTTCGGATTTTGTTGCATCACATGCATAATACTTTCTGCCAATTTGCATAACATTTCCTAAATTTTTTATGGGTGAAATTTAGTAAGTAAAATTAAAGTTAATGTTTATAGCACTCAAACTTGTTTGAGCTAAATGATTGTTGATCAAGGATGATTAATTGTGGGAAGAATGAGTCTTTAAATGGATAAATGGATAACTGTTCAAGATCGTCTAAATTAACATGTTCTAATTTAAACTGTAAATTTAAACTGTTAAACTGACAGATTCTAATTTAAACTTACGTTAGCAGAAATCAGTAATAAAAATAAGTGCAAATTATTTCCAAAAGCTCAAGAAAAATTTGTTGAACTAACCATTTTTAATTGATGCTACTAAGGATGAAATGAAATTATTATGATTGATGAATGCATACAGTATCAATCAAATAAAAAAAGGTATTGCCACGTTTCACTTTACCTTATAAGAGTCCACTTCTTTCACTTGATCCAAATAATCCTGACTAAGCTCAGAAATCTTGATGGTACCAACTTTCTCTCCTAGTTTCATGAACAGCTTCCGGAATGCACTTCGTCCTTCTGGTTCCGTTAATGATGAAGTTTCTATTTGTGTTTGAATTTTGTCCACATCTGATTGTTCCTTATTTTTATCATCTTTCTTAAGTTCGCTAAAATTTTACTTAGAATTAAATTTTTATTTAAAAAGAGAAAATCGGTTAATCATTAATAAATAGTAGTTGATGAACGAATTGCCATCTAATTAACAAGAAAAAATGGTTAAGAAAAAGAATAATTTATGGCTGATTGATTGATTTGATTTAGTTTTCATCAAAAATAATCCGATTATTTTATTGTTTTTGAGTATGATCTCAAAATGTCATGCTACAATTATCGTTTAATAAAAATTGATTCAAATCACTGACTTTTTTTTCGCTGCCATTTGCAATACAACCGGATTGTTTCACAAATTTAAATAGAGCGTATAAATAATGAAGATAAAGATTTTGATTGTATTTATAGTAAAAATTATTTCTAATGAGAAAAATTTTAATTTCAGTTGTTTTTGCATTAAACAGCTAAAGTTAATCAAACAATTTGTTTGGCGTTTTTATTTCATTCAAACAAACCAATTATCAATTTTTTCATAGTTTATCATTAATGATTAGGTATATTAGTAAGCATAAACAAATAGAAAAACCATTTAAGTTTAGCAAAAATTATGAACTGGTTGGAATTAAGGGCAAATAATTATTAATATCATTAGGTTTACCTGGCCACGTTTTATTTTATTTTTCATTACAGCTAATTAAATTTAAGAACAGTAAATTAAATATTTTATTGAAATCTATTAAATTTTCAACTAAATGGTGCAAAAATAATATTTCCTTAAATGGTCAACTTTATATATTCCGTTTGCAAAATTTAAAAAATAAGCATTGTTGATTTATGCTATTTTGTAATTTTTTTGCTTTGTTATTTTTGTTGCTTTCAGTTTTACCAATTCATATCGATATGTGTTATATTTCAGTTATGATAATCTTAATTTTAACAATTTGACGTATTTATTGCCAGTTGAATTTTACAATGAGCTTACAAGAAAGCATTTCATCAACGATCATTTCGCATATTAGAATTAAACTTTATAAAAGTTGAACTTTGAATAAATGTGTATCCAAGTTAAATTCTTTAGAGTCATTTGTTCTTATTGTTATCTATCAGTAAGCATACAATTATTGAAATTATGTGACAGAATTTACCAATGAAATCGTGAACTGCATCCTGCATTGAGTTGCACATTTTTCTGGTGCTTGCAGCATGCAATAATTGGAGATGTATGTCTGTATTTATGAACATCCTCTTTTTTAACATGTTTTAATTTTTTGTGATTTTGTGAATGTTAACCTTTAAGTATTAGTAGATACGATAAACTGTACAAGTAGCAAGCTTTTTTAGTAACAGCATTAAGATAGAGGATAAAATTTAAGTGGAGAAGTGATGTCATAACACTGAGAAAAGTTATGTTCATTCTAGCAAGCTCATAAATTTTTTTCAGAATACGCAATTTTTATGGTTCCAAGAGATAGTATCGAATCTTGAAATGGATTTAATTAAATTTTTTCAATTTCTCTTTTTTCATTTGCACACTTTTGACTGTGGTGGTAGACATACAAAAAAGTGACGCCAAAATATGCTAAAACTTTTTCACGTGATTCTTTTTGTAGGTGAGTTTTGGTACACATTTAAATTGTGGTGAAAATTTAGTATTTAGACGGTGTCGGGAAGCCGAAATTTTGCACTATAAAATTATTTAAATGAATGGAAATTACCATTTGAATTACCATTTGATTAACGAGGCAATGAGTGACACAGAAATACATTCCGAGTCGGGCAATGCACAGTAAGTACTGAATAAACTTATGGTAAACAGATATTGGGCCAAACTAATAGTACATAACAAAGGACGAATAAAGTTAAATTAATGAATAAGTAAGATCCAAATGAAACATAAAATTGAAACAAAAAATGATTCATGCTCATATCTTAAAATGTCGCTTAATCACTGCTTGTTCCAGACATTTATTTGGAAATACTCGTAGCGCGTATGAATCTCCGTTTGTGTCGCTGAAAAGCGAGAAGTACCAGAGAGAGAAATTCCAAGAATATTAAAAATGGCTAAATATATTATGGATATTTTTCATATATTCATAGATATAACTGTAATAAGGAATATTATCGTGTCTTAATGCGTTTAATACGTGTCAATGTTAATGTTCCTGTCAACTAAATAACACGATCAACTGATTCATCTTGTACTTGCATTTCCATTAATCTGCCAGTATTCCTCGATAGGAGTCACTCGTCGCTACAATTGGAGTAAGAACGCTGGAATTCATCAGACAAGAAATTGAAGTAGGAAAGGCACATTTATGGACGGATAGTGTTTGCGTACTGCACTGGCTAAGAAAGCCGCCAGTAAGATCCAAATATATTTCAAATAGAATTGATGAAATAAGATGTAAAGAAAGTGAATTCCGTCATGTAAGATCAACAAATAATCCCGCTGATCAGGCTTCACGAGGACTTTTACAAGGAAAATTGAAAGACAACTGCTTATGATGAAATGGTCCATCATGGTTGTGGGAACTAAAGGAGAAATGGCCTGAGGACAAAGCCACGGAAGAAAGCATTACGAGTGTATGCATGAGTATGGGATTGATGGAAAAAGAAGCGATACAATCACAGAAAGTCATGGCGTTCATCCCTGCTCAAATTAATAAAAACAATACTGTAAATGTTACGATTCCTCGCTAAAGTGTCAAAAGAAAAGATTAGTGATTTGAAAGGGTTCTCAAAAGGTGATTTTACTTCTAAGGAGTATGATAAGGCAACACAATTGGTAATCAAAATGGCACAATGAGAGAAGGAAATCGAACATTGGGGTTTAAGAAAAGATATGAAATGGAATCCTAAGAAGCGCCATACCTCAAACTGAGGATTTTCCATACTTCATCAATAAAGAAAGCTTGCAGAATTGATCGTGAAGCATTATCATGAAAAATCATTTCATGCAAGTGTTCGCTACACTTGGAATAAGATGAGACGACGATACTGGATCCGGCACGGACGAGTGTATATTAAGAAAATCTTGAGAAAGATTTGTAAAGGTTGTGCTATGTGGGTGGCTACGCCATTTGAACAACCAGACTTTCCTCCACTGCTAGAATTCCAGGACCGTTTGAAACAGTTGGTATAGACCTGTTGGGCCTATCATAATAAAGGAGAATAATGCCAAAACAAAACGATGGGTGGCTCTATTTACATGTTTGGCCACGAGAGCCGTGCACTTGGAAGTAATGAAAACAACGTCTGATAAAAATGCGTACAAGCATTTAGAGGATTCATAAGTCGAAGAAAACAACCGAAACACATAATTTCGGACAATGCTAAGAATCTTATAGCAGCTTCAAAGGTAATTGTAGAACTAAACAGAATGGAAAGTGGAACTATGGAATGGGAATTCATTACTCCAGGCGCTCCTTGGCAGGGCTGCATTTGTGAAAGAATTGGGGGGAGTAGTTAAAGGATCCCTAAGAAAAGCCACATAGGTACAAAGTTTAAGAATGGAGAACTGATCACTTTAGTTGCGGAACTTGAAGCGATTATCAACGAAAGACCTCTGGCAGATATTGAAGAATTAGGACTTATATTAAGACCTGGAGATTTTTTGAATCTAAGATCAGCTCGAGAAAAAAATTTGAGCGAAAGAAAGGCTAACAGCAGAGATGAGGAATCATATGTTGTTAAAAATTTGCAAACAAAATTAGCACATCAGTATATGACTACATCAAGC